CTCCCCCTGCCCATAGGAGATGGGCGCGAGGGCCCCTGCCGTGTATCGGCCCACTCCTGGCAGCAGCTTCTGCAGGTCCACAGCCGTCCTGGGCATCTGGCCGGCCAGCTCGGATACCACCTGGCAGAGAGGGGGCTGAGGTCAGGGGAGCCGCTGGGGTGCGTGCGTACAACCCATTTTACCTCTGTAGCCTCATGCCAGCAGCACACAGCCTCAGCAAGGCAGGACCGACAGGAGCCTGCACCAACCCACGGGCTGCACAGGGCTTCGGAAATGCCCCCCACACCCCAGCACCAGGGCACCTTCCTTGCTGCCTCCTGCAGACGCCTCCCTCTGGAGTAGTAGCCAAGTCCAGCCCACAGCTCGTTCACCTCCTGCTCCAAGAGACACAGCATGGTCTTAGATGAAGAGCCACGAGGGCAGGGAGAGCACCCGGCCCCAACAACGCTCACCTCCAGGGACGCCTGTGCCAGAGCCTGCAGCGTCGGCCACTTCTGTGGTACAGAGGGAAGGGGACAAGTTAGAGACAAGCAGAGCCATGCTCTGCAGCTGGGGATCTGCCACAGGCAGTGGACAGTTTCCAAAAGGGGCTTCCTGTGAGCACAGGACTCCGTGAGGAACAGTCACCTGCATCCAGCGGTTGTAGTAGTCGATCACTGTAGCCACCTGCGTCTGCTGGAGCATGATCTCAGACACCCACACTGCAGGCAGCAGGGCAGGGATCAGAGCAGAGGCACCAATGCCACGGCCATGTTAGTACTGGCTACGAGCACTGCAGTGGCATCCAACACATGGGAACCCTTCCCACCACCCTCCTTCCCCATATGCTGCCCCACAGGAACTCCCTCAGACCCAAAGTGGCTCCCAGAACCCCCAGAGCCTTGCGAGTGGGGTCAGTGGCTCCCGTAGCCACCCTAGGCAGCTTGTTTCAAGGATGGCGACTGAAGCCACGTTTCCTTGCAAGGCCATATTGCACATCTTTGTCAGGGGTAACAGGCAATAGGGCACCCCATGCACCCCAGTCCCCACTCCTCACCGGCGTATGCCCGTCTGTCAGCATCTGGCTCAGTTGCTGCCTGGAAGGGGAAGAAGATGGAGTAAGAGGAGCAGAGTAACACAGGACCCCACCGGAGCGGCAACCTGCATATAAAATAAAATTGCTTGTGGTGTGATTTGAACACTGCGGTAGAATCTACATAAAAATATTTCCCCCGGGTGCAAAGGTCCCACAGGAGGAGCTGTCCCGGGCCCGAGCCCCTCTGCGTGGGAAGAAGTCGCAGGTAAATTTCAATCCCACTGAAGGGCCGTGCAGTTCCCAGCATCTTTCAGACAGACGTTGCTGTAAAGCTGACGGCCAGCCCCAGCGCCCCAGCACCGCCTAACCACTTGCTG